GCTGGGGAGCACCAGGCCAGAGCACACACGGGTCAGCAGGCTGGCGGAGGTGGAGGTGGGGGTGGGCGAGGTGGCGCGGGACGGCGGGGCCGTCTGCGTGCCGTTGGCCTCCCCCTCCCCCTCCGCCCCCGCGCCCGCGCTGCGGGAGAGCTTGGACGGGCGGGTGAAGATGCCCCGCAGGGCATCACACTGGAAGTACCGCACCCCGGCCACCGAGCCATCGTTCTTCCCGATGGGCTCGTCTAGCACGATCCCCGCCCACTGTCCCGGGGCGAACTGGGTCTCTCCCAGGAACTGGATGAAACCGGGCTTGTTTCCATTGACCCAAACCCGCTCCCCGACGTGAAAATCACCCGCGACGTCCTCCTGCACCTCGGACGGGCCTGGCCCCGGAGCAGACTTGTCTGCGGAGGCCTGCTTGGCTGGGGCTGAGGAGGAGACAGACTGCAATTATTTCTCATCACCTTCACCCACTGGCAGCAGACAGCAAAAAGACAGTAAACCTTCCTTACGGGTGGATAACACATACAGCGCGATACAGCACCACATCTAGGCCAGAGTCACATTTCGGAGAACAAAGTGCAATCAGTGCCTGCCAGTAACCCTGCAGCCCTACTGTTTAACTACCAGACCTTTTAATCCAAGACACCGCAGTTTAGTGCAACAGCTCCTTTATTGATTAATAAACTCGACTGTTTATTTAAGGAGCTGCTTTCATCAAAGCAACGCACTTGAAGGGTCCAAAGTTGAAGCAGGCCTGCTCTGCAATGCACACAGACATACAAATCTGAAGGAATAAGATCAAAACAGGAGAGAATTTAAGTATCCCACCAGTAAATAGCAACAATTTATTCAGCATTGAAAATGACACAATAAGCCGGAAATGCCTCGAATATCTGTTTCCATTCTAATTCAATACAAATGCACAACTGCGTTCTCCCTTCTGGAACAGCTCATTGCAAGAGCATGCAGGCAGTGGAGCACGCGGAGAGCAGGACACCAACAGGCTGCTTTTCTATAGAACAGAATCTTGGAAACCATGGCAACAGCACAGGTACCAGAAGACATACCAATGAACCTCTGTGCCAAGAGCAAACTGCATTATACTGGATTTTCTCGTTGTTAAAAAAAAAAGCACGTCACTTAAACTGTTAAGTAAAACTGTAAAAAGACTTAATGAAACACAAGAGTATTTTTTGCCAATTTTCTGTTTTGTATCAGAAAGGCAAGTAAGGGCAGATCCTAATCCTGCATGCAGATTTTGGGGAGATTTCCATCACTTCCCTCTTGTGCCTACTAAGAAAAAGCCCTGCTCCTGAATGGGAAGCACAATGTGCAGCCTCCTAATACAGCAGCTCACATCAAGACAAGCGCATGGCTGCATGTCAGAAACCAGGCCTCCAGTTTCCGTGGATACCAAGAGTTAATGCTGTAACGTGGCAACAGACACATTCATTCATCTTTTAATAACTGTAAGCTCAATCTACACACTAAGTATGTGGCCTGTGTGAATCCTCCTGGCATGCATGCTCCGATTAAGGTAAAGACCACCGTACCTATACACCAATGCAAGCCAAAAACACTACATGTGACCAAGGTGAGAATGACAGAAAGATTAATGAACTGTTCTTTCAGCTGTTTCTGCTCTCAGCTCCGACGGCTCAATCACCCATTGTGGAGGGAGAGGAAGCCCCAACAATAGAACATCATTAAATAATAACTACAACAATGCCAGGACCTTTACAAAGGGATTTGACAGTATTCATCACCAGGTGAAAGAATAAGGGTTATGTTCACTCTCTTTGGCAAAGGTGCTACAGCTCATGTCCAAAATGAAAACGGTTTGTTAGAGTGGTCTTCAAAACATTTCCCCAGATCTCTTTTCAACACCTCCGGGGAAGTAGGAGGCTACAAGTCACTCGATGAATCGACTTTAAGAACCGACTGATTCTTAAAAACAGTCCGCAAATGGGCTGGGATGGGATGACTGGCCCATAATATACGTGCTCTGTGTTCTGGGGAGCTTTCTTGGAAATTGTTCAGCAGCACAGTTTGGCTTATTTTAACACAATACCGAAGAGAAGCCAGAAATATTTTCAAACGGACAACATGCCCAAATAAAATTCAGAAATCTTCAAATACTTGCCACAAATCAACCCCTCCCCACCACACACACACACAAAAAAGTCACAGAAATGTATTTTAATGACAAAGGCCGGTCACAATGGCCCTCGCGGACTCAGTTGCTGTGGCAACAAGCGAGGGGATGTTAAGAAACGGGGGCTCTTACCGGAGGCAGTTTTGGTGGCGGCACCGGCGGGCTTGGTGATCTTGCTGGGAGCCTTCAGCCCGCTGGGTTTAAGCATGCTCATCGTTCCCTTTGTGCTGTGGGAGTCCGCTGGCCTTTGTCTGCTGGTGGGGGCTAGCCCTTCCCAACCACTGACTCAGCCGCTCCGCGCCCCACTCTAACACGCCCCCCCCGTCTTCGGCAAGGGGGGGGGGGGAATAGGAAGGCAGGAGCTGAGGGGGGGAAAAAAGAAAACCTGCAGGAAGAGAAGAGGGAAAGAGCGTGAGGGCGACAAGGTCTCAGAAGGAAGAGGGCAAAGCGGGGGGCAGCAGGAGGCACACACAAGGCCCGGCCGCCTGACTGCGCTGTCTCTCGTTTAACACAACAAAGCCGCTGAGACTGGATTTTTGTGAACCTTGTGTGTGAATAAGGGAGGTATCCACTCAGAAGAGGCTAAACCTGGCACAAAGCTCCGCACGTGGCCGAACGCTCCTGTGAACCGGCCCGGAGTTCTGATGGAGGCCCAGTCGCGCTGCGCTGTCTCAGCCCTCACCACAGCAGGCACTCTTTCGGACTGAAGCAGAAGCCTGCTCAGAAATACAACATGAAATTCTAAAAACGTTGTCAATGTGTACACATTTCCAACTTTCAATCGGAGGTTAACTGAAGCCTAAAGACGCGTCTCTCAGGCTGGAAAGCCGGCATTGTCACCTTTCTCACGGTGCTGAGAGCGAGGTTACTTCAGGCCACCAGTAACACAAGCCCGAGAACTGCAGAACACAATCTCTGCGATGGCACTACATACAGTACCAGAATAACAAGGCATGAGTTATTCTGTATTACCGATAATGCTAATAGAAAATAAGTCTTTCCATTAGCTGATTACAATGTGGATTTTATTTAAAACCCAAATCAACTCTAAAACTCTTCACCCAATGGGTTGTGGGAGACTGGAACAAGCTACTCAGCCATGTTCCTGAAGACGGTAAATGTCTTCCCTGGTTTCTTTCAAGAAAGGGCTGCATGAGGTCCTATGATCAATTAACTACTAACCAGCAGAAGGGCTAGATGGGTCGGATGGCCTCTTACTCTATTTGGTAACCTTTCTTAAGTTTTTAAGAGCCTCCAGTTATGACAAATACAACATTTTGCATCAGTGTTCTCTCTGGCACAGCGACAGAGGCTTCTCTCTGCACTGTAGCTCATTCTGCTTGCTGACATTTACAGTATATATGCTTCACACAGCTGCAGGCATTAGAGTAATGACACTCTTATTTATGAACTGTCCATCAATAAGCTCACCATCTGTAAATTGATACCAGAGCTTCGCTACCTAAAAAACACTGAGGTCCTTACACACACAGGAAAAAATAACCACTTGATGAAAGTGGTCCAATATCATGTTTAATGACCTATACTTGCAATAATGCACATTTTCCAAATTCTACAGGCAAGGTTGACGGGGAGGAACCCGCAGGTGCAGGTACAATAAGGTATGAGTCTTGTTTGGGCAAGATATCAAAGATGTATAATTAATTCAAAAACACACGCATTGATATTCAGGACTGGAGGCACTAGAGCTGCAGATTTGCATAATGTCCCAGGTGGATGTCCTTGATATACATGGAAAGACCATCATGCCGCCAGACCTGATGAGAATATTAATATTGGGCTGCTAAACATTGGCCAGTGATTTCTGTGCTACACTATATTACCAGATTGGTGAACCTGTTGAAGAACTGTGTAACCAAATGGAAAACAGTTAACAATCAGACTTGCACAGTGTAACTCTGTGTACCTCCTGTACAAAAGTATTTTTTCCAGTCACGGCATGTTTTTAATTTTCTCACTTGCAACAGAAAGGGAAGGCTGTCTGTTGAATCCAGCTAGAATATGGCAGTCTGGATTGCCACCTTCCTCAGCCAGGAGCCCGTTCCTGAAGGCTATCTGCGTGTAGGAGGATTTTGAGTGAGATGATGAAAGGCCTGATGCAGATATTGTATGAAAGAACAACTTCAGCGCAAGGCAATGTCAATGTTTACAATTACGGGGTATCTTTTTTGCACAAAGGATTTTTCTCGTTCTCAAAACGGAATACCTCTTAAAATGTAATAACAAAACTTGTTTGAAAATAGCATCAAATGCAACTAATGAATTTCAAAGCAGTAAGGACTGAGCCTCACAGTTAACAATTGCTTTTACCATTTTATTATATTACATCTGCATGTTCTTTATGTTCTTTTTCTAGCAGCTTGTCAGTTTGATTCAGATAAGAATCTTAGCTGAACTACCCGAGACTGGCAATCTCATTTCAACATTTACCAAATTAAATCTGCTAAAGGATACGTTCTCAGTAGTTATAATAGCATTGCTTACAATTGTGGATCAGTTAATGGATTCCCAGCCCTGCTTGGTGCCTGACTGATTCATTCTCTAAAAATACAAAGTCACAAGCCGACCAACACGCTGACCTCACTCATCTCATTTAACTGCAGTGTGGAGGACAGAGACAAGAGAGCAGACCTCAGCCAGGGTCCCCAGCGTTATGGCAGGTGATGTAGTTTTAAGAGTGATGACGGAAATCACCATATAACGAGAAATGAGAACCTTCCAAAACCTGGTTCACGGTGCCAGCAGAAACCATTCTTCTCCCACCAGTATCATTCTAACATGTTGAGCTGCAAAATGACTAGAAAACTACAGGAAATTCCACTGCTCAGGAAGCAACAAGATGGGAGCTCTTTATTGCTACTTATCACTATTTACTTGCAGCTTTCTGCATCTTGTACAAAGTGCAGGAAAACATTTCAAATGAAACTAATCAGATATAAACTGGCGACATGCTGGTTCTGAGAATCTTAAGTGGATGACAAACATTTCTCTCTTCTAAGTATACACATATACACAGTATACTTCACACTCCTGCATTTCAGGGGGAATGGTACCCCTATGGCATAGCTTGTGTCTCCAGTCTTCCTTCCGTCTTCTAATGTGGTGTTTTGTATCACAGGTAGAGGATGGGTATGTGTAAACGGAGGATAATGAGGCTTTTTACCAGTGCTGTGCTCTGAGGCTTCCAGCGGATTATCAGATAAAAGAGGTAGGCTTCACTCAGGGAAAGGGAGATTAATTGGTCTTAAAGCCTACTTGAACAGCTAGTGCCCGGTTAACATGAAGCTTCTGATTGCTTCCCTTACATATAAACATAAAATAAATGATCACCAGCGCCAGAAAACACTAACCCTGGCCCGGCATATCCTGAGGGGCTTCTTGCTCAGCTTAGCTATTACAGCTGTCAAGGCCTGGGAAAGAGACTGAGAGTCCTCAACAGCACACTGCACAAACCCTAACCAACTAACACGCATGTATCTCACGAGCCAGGCGTGCCCCATTTCACCTTTCGGAAAAACAGTTACAGCTGGCTCGTCTATAAGTACAAGTCTCACAGTGGCCACTAGAGGAGTTGAGACTCGGGGAGAGGAGGAAAACAAGAAGCTGTCTTGTGCACAGAACAACAGGAGTCAGCTTCTCCAGCCCGTGTCTATTAAACGGTGCTGGGCTCTGAGGAGCAGTAACAGGCCGCAGAGGACTTAGGAATTAATCACTGCACTCTCTGCTCTGCCTCTTGAACACTCCACTCTCTGGGGATTTATCAAACTGACCTCTTCCTGAGCAAACAGTCCAGCCACAGCTCCCTTTCATGAACCCCCAGTCAGAGCAAGTCACGTGAGGGTCCCTATCACTGCTTCTAGCTTAACTCCTGAGGTCTGCAGGGAGCTGGATTAGAAGAAGGGATCTATTTTTTTTTCCTCCAGCTATGCAGATCCAAGTAAAAGCGGAGTTCAGGGAGAAAGCTGCAAGGCCCCAGTTTCTTTCCAAGATCAAAAAGGCTGAGAGAGCGATCTTCAAACGCGCAGTAAGGAAGACAAGTCTTCACGCTTACACAGCTTTGGTAAATTATTAACACTCTGGGTTTCTCGGAGCCCTCTATCGCTGCCATAGCAACCCTGGGACAACGGGGGACAGAACAGGTTTTCCTCACAGCCTCACAGGAGACCCCCAGCACTGAAGTGCACAGAAGAGCTTCCGACACCTTTTCTTGGACAGTCCACAGTGGCCCAACAGCACACACAGCAGAGCTCAAAAAGCCCTGCAACAGGGCCGGCCAAAGAGGTGTGTCAGAGCCTGTGCCATTAAAACGAAGGCTGTCCAAAGACTGGCCAGGTTTTTAAAAAAGGTCAGATGAGAGCATGCACCCCATTTCTACTTTCTGCAGGCTGGAGCTTAAAAAAAGCCGATCTGGAAAAGGAGAACATCGTCAGGCTCTCAGCTGGACAGGGTATAGGAATCCAATTCTGGGACTGAATGAAGAATAAGAGGCTTTGTTTTCACAAGCCGTTGCATAAATATGAGGCTGTGTTTTTTATATCTTTGTGTCAAGTGTATTACATACCCAGCAGGTATATGGAGATGATCACCAGTATAATGGAAAAATGAAATCTGATTTGTATGCAGCTCCAAACATGTGGACGTTGATTGGACAGAAGAGGATTTTAACCCTCTCCTTCTGGGTGAAGGACCACAGCAACCGCTGTGACCTACTTTGCATGAGAAAGTGCTCTCGTTTCTGCTCCCTGAGCACCGATATCATGGCTCCCTTCACGGCATGGCTAAGGTCACTTGGCAGGCTGCCACAGAGGAGCGGATACATGGAAGAGTCGAGAGTCTCGTGCCAAGTTTCATAATGAAAATTACAGCCGGCGCAATCCAAACACCTACACAGGCAGCGGCAGAGGTCTCGTGTCTGCCAACACACTTTTCAGCCTTGAAACCTGGGACTGAGAAGTGAAAAACCAAACAAATGCATATAATAAAAAAAGATCAGATATAAAACTTTGTGTTTTTGGCACAAAATCAAAGTACTCAGTTATACATCATACATCCATAGCAATACCGCAGCTTTCTGAAAGGCAGATAAACGGAACAGTCATGTTGCAGGTGGACATGTACCATTTTCTCCTAATTAACTAGGCAGTCTGCCCTTTTATTAGCAACAAGAACATTTCACAGCTTCTGCACTTTGTCAGTAATATCCCAGTTCCACACACATACGAGTTCCTGCTATGAGCATCAGCTGGGAAAACATTCTCAAAGACTTTGGTTTCACTTATTTTTAAGATTTTCATAACGGATTTGGCTGCAGTATAGACTTCGAGTTCAGCCTGGCGACCTGTAGTCACGAAAAAATAGAAGGGT